GATGGTGGAGGGAAGGCACACCGGGCTGCACAGGGCAGGGAGGAGTGTCTCCGCTGCTCCTCGACGCTGAGCCAGTCGCCCGCCCCCTGCACCTCGATGTGCTCACCTTAATGGTGATGGAAGAAGGTCTCCCTGTCAGGGTTCTGGGAGACTGGCGGGTGGTAAGTGAGCACTGCCAGTGCTCGGTGGTGGTCGTGAGACAGATCCTGGAGTTAGGAGTGCTCTCCCCAGGGCAGGGCGGGGCAGGAGGAAGCTAGGACTGGCCTAGAACCCAGAGGCCATGAGGGGAGGTGCAGTGGTATTGGGAGCCCAGGCTGTGTCCTGAGGCTGCTCCCAGCAGCCCGGGGAGACTGAGCAAGGGTGATCAGCAGAGGCACTCTGGACAGGAGCACAGTAGGGCAGACTGTGGGAGCGCCTTCCCGGCAGCACGGTGCCAAGGGCTTTAACTGCATCCAGCTCTCCCGACAGACCCGCGGCTGGGCGCGATCGTTCCCTATTTATTCCATTTGCTACCGGGTATGTGTGCTCGCTGGAGAGAGACAGAGACAAGGAGAAAGCACCCCAGAGGGAGGGCCACGCCCCAGTCTCTTTTCCTCCGTTCTTTTCTCAAGATTTTGGGCACACGGGCACACGCGCCTGGCATGTTTTTTTCAAGCTGCTAGGTCCAGGCCTCTCTGACTGTCCAGCCGGCCATGTGGGATCCAGCTGCCTCCACCAACACACCACCAGCTGGCCTAATCATCATCCCTCTGGTTTTTTGTTTTGTTTTTGTTTTTTTTTTGCTATAGGGTGTGTGTGTTCTCTGGAGACAGAGACAGAGAAAGGGAAGGTGAGATATCATCGCCTAGGGGGGACAACCGAGCTGCAGTCCCTTCTCCATTCTCCTGTTGTGATTTTGGGCATGCATGCCTAGAGTGTTTTGCAAGCCACCAGGTTCAGGACTTGAACCACACAGTTGGCCATGTTGGATCCAGCTGTTTTTACTTCCATACCACCTGCTGCCCTGACCATTCCCCTTTTTTGAAAAAAATATGTATTTAATTTAATTTATTTATTCATTTATTTTAATTTGACGAGAGAGAGAAAGAAAGTGAGAAAGCAAGCCACCAGGTCCAGGACTCAAACCATGGTCAGCCATGTGGGAGTGTCCAGCGCCTTAACCATCACGCCACCTGCTGGCCCCATGACCATTCCCTTTTACTAGAGAAAGAATGTGGGCCTCAGATGAAATGTCTTGCCCATAGGCACACAGTGAGAAAGTCACGGAGCCGGCTGGAACCCCAGGCTGTGCCCTCTGTGCCTGCTGCTCGGCTCTGGCGTGGCCGAGCTGAGCCCATCGTGCAGATAAGCAAGCCAAACCAGGTGAGGGAGTGGCCCAGTCACCAGCCAGCAAGCGGTGGGAGCTAGCCGCAGTCCCAGTCTACCTGATGCCAACCCGCCTGCCTGTGGCCGGGCCTGCTTCTCAGTGGCTGGCTCCACCGGTCCCTCCATGGGGGCGCGATGGTGGGAGGGAATGGGGGCTCACAGAGAGGAGGGGACCCCGCTGGCATCCCCAGCCCCTCCCACACTCACTGTTAGTAGCTCTCACCCGACTCGGTAGACAAAGGCAGCCCTGTAATTGGGAGCGAGTATTTCATGCTTCCCCCCCGATGTTTTATTGGGTGGAGAGATGCTTGGAGACCGAACGGATGGCGCATTCCGTTTATAAAGTGCGTGCAGTTTGTTTTACTCCCCGAGCTTTTGCAATCTAGATAACAGATGATGCCCCGAGTGGCTGGGGCGGTCTCTCCAATAGGGGCGTGAAGGCCTCGGAG